CCATACCCATTTCAGGTAAGAATACCTTCGTTTTCACATCGAATACATAATGTCCGATTTGAGGTACTGTTCATGCACACGTTATTTCTCACGTTTTAGGGAATTTCAAGCTTGTAGGTAGCTTGGTGAGGTTCCTAGGAGGCTCGGGGTGGTTTGTTTGATGGTTTTGGACGTTGGGATCACTAGTTTCGAAGTTGGCCGGAGTTAGGTTGATTTTTCAGGTGAGATTTTGTGGTTTTTGGTACTTGAAAGTGGTATGATTGTGTTCCTCTCGTTGTAAGCTTCATTTTGGTACCAATTTTGTGAAATTTGGATGAAAAACGAAGAAGATATCAACGTTTGTAAAATTCCCGATTTTCTGGCGCTGTCGTCGGCGCCGGAGGTTCGCCGGAGAAGACGACGGAATATTCCGTCAAGTCTGACGGAATATTCCTGACGCCATTGACGGAAATCGTTAGGGATAACGGAATATTCCTAACGGCGTCAGTTGATGCCGTCAGCGTGCCAGGCACGTGCCTGTGCGTGGCCGGCGCGTGTGGCCGTGCCTTGGCCGGCGCGTGGTGGGGGTGCGTGCGACGGTGAAAAATTATTTTAAAAATATGGGGATGTTCCTAAGGTTGAGTAGATCACGTTGGTGTATTCATACACCCCATTTGAGCATTGTATGAGAAGTTATTTCTAAAGGTTGGTTATGTGCTTTAAAATTTACGTTTTTATAGTTGTTTCGCATATAGGTGAGACGTATTCGGAGGACGAGCGTGGTCACTCGAGGCAGGGGGGCTACGACCCTTCCACATACCAGTGAGTGGGCTTTTGGTTTTCCGTATATACCTATATGCTTATACGTTTCCCAGAAAATGAAATTAAAATGTTTCTGCATTATATTACCATGTTTATTGTTGCTGTTCGTTCATGCATTATTAGTTATATATGTATGCATGTGAATTGATGCTGCGGACGTACAGGTAAGTGCCAGGTGAGTATGACTTTATATTTACATTCAGTAGTGACTTTAGAGACTTAGTGAGCTCGTAACCTACACCCTCGGTGTCAGTGCTCCCGCCCAGAGTTGGGCACAGTCCTTCACGTGATGTTCACCTCCCGCACCACACACTCAGCTTGGATCCAAGTTAGCTGCACAGTCCTGTCGTACAGACCACTTTAGGTGGTTCCGACTCGTAGGTGACCCGCGATTATTCGCCCAGCCTTCACGTGATCGTAGCACTAGAGCGTATTTATATTACACCCAGGCCTATCGTACAGACCATTTTAGGTGGTTCCGACTCGTGTGCAGGTATAGATAGTGAAATTGAGATTCGAGCTCTAGTTCAGCCGTACAGGTCACGTTAGGTGACTCCGGTTGACAGTTTATATGTTTTGGATGTGATATTACCCGAGCACTTACATTTTATTTGAGGTCTTGATATGGCATATCCTTGAGCATTCGCATCATACTTCGAGGCATATTCATGGCACGTTTTTCGAGCATAGTATATCTATATATATTCTATTTTCTGGGAAGTATACAGGTTTTACGGCGAGGGGTTAGAACTCATTTACTAAATTGGTTTTCGAAAAGCTTTGTTTTTGCCCACTCACGCTTTTATTTTGCGCCCCTCCAGGTTTTAGTTGGCTAGCACGTTTGGTGGTTTCCCCGAGGGCTTTCCCGGCATATCTGACAGACGATCACCAGCGTAGGACCCCCTTCGGGTGTACTATTATTGCGTCATTTTCCTTTGGACTGCTTTAGGCTTATTGCTCTGAACTTGTGTCTCACTTATGCTAGCAATTGTTCTTTTACCTTATGTATGCTAGTTCTTATTTATTCGTACCATTTACATTATTATCTTATTAGCTTCCGCACCGTGCACATGGTTACGTCACTTCCACGTGACGGCCAGCATGCCCTGATCTCGATCGGGGTGTGTCATGTCAGGTTATTCTTGTAGTCTTTCCATGATTCAAGGAGCTGCCCAATGAGACTTCTGCACAAGAACACTTCGGGAAAATCTATATCCTCATGAATTTGTAGTGACACATTTTTGTCCTCTACCATTTGGAATTTTAGAAAATTTCCAACAGTATATTTTAGTGTACTAACATCTTCACTATATACTTCTTTTTCAAAATTTCCCAAATCTCACTTGCAGTCTTGTAAGAACAATAGCCATCAAAAAGCTCATTGGAAAGTGTGCTCAAAATTGTGTGCCTCCATATTTTGTTACCTTTCTCCCATTCTTCTCAATCCTTCTTATACCTGTCAGTGCCTTCTTTTGGCTTAGGCTTGGTAAGGTAGCCAGCAAGGTTGATAATGTCAAGTGCAAAGAAAATTCTTTCTTGCCAGTGTTTGAAATTGGCTCCGTTGAAAGTGTCGATCTTGGAAACATCAGGAAGCTTGGTAGTAGCAGCAACAGAGGCAGTAGTAGTAGCAACGGAAGCAGTAGCAATGGCAACAGAAGTGGTAGTGTCCATGATCTATTCTTAAGATTGTTGGGAAATTTGTCGTTGATGACTATCCGGCTGATGCTTCTTTGACCATGAACAAAAATTAGGATGATGAGTGTAAGTAACTATCCTTAAGAATAGATTTCGCCCATTGGAGATAGAATCTCAGTGTAGCAGGTTATGGTGTCCTATCCTCCAGGAGACAACAACCTATGGACCTTTGTAAGCATACACTCGCAATACTCAGGTCAAATGAACAACTTGACTCTTTCCCTTGAAAAGAAAAATGAACTTGAAAACCAATAATTTTGAGAGTAAGCACTTGATTAGAAAATAGAGAGGATGACCATATATCTCAAAAAGACTCGTGGCTACCAATAAAATAGTAGAGGTTGAGCCCCAAAAATTCGTTGTACGATCGTGGCAATTGAAATAAATTAAATCAAAAGAATGTAACATCTATACAATTACTTTAATTGTTTAACCAATACGTTAAAACCAATGCTATGTAACTAAAGAATTTTGTTTCAACCGATTTGAAAGCAATAGCCAGTAGAAACAATTAAATGCCATATGTCAAACGATCAAAGAAATAAGATTGGGATCAAAACTTAATTTGATATCAAATCCATTCAATGTGTAGTATAAAAGTTCAATCAGGAAAGTTAATTTTAAAGATATGGTCAACAAAGATAGAAAATTAAATCGAATTAAGAATCAAATATAGTTAATATAATTATAACTGAGAAAGGAAATTTAAGATGGGATTTTGTATTTTGAAATACCACTTAAAAATTCCAACAGATGTAATTAAAATGCTTTTGAAATAGGTAAATGAAATCGAAAAAAATGAAGGAAATGAAAATGTAGAACACATTTGAGTGCTTGCTACTCTCTGCAAATCACAGAGAATGTTCTCTTTCTATTTTTCGTGTATAAAAATCAGTGAATGAGCACATACACTCATCACCTCAAGTTAGTTACATCCGAAGGCATCTTCACCTTTCATTCACCAATAGTCTAGGATTATGCCATCTGTCATTTACAACCTAACACCATATGAGCTTACACTTAGCATATTTAGCTCAAGTGAATTCACATTTAACTAACAAGGCTTAACTTGTTTGGATTAATATTTGAATATTGGGCTTAAATAAAAGAGGCCCAAGGATGCTGATTAAAAGGGAGACTTGCCTGAAGTTCAACATCGAGCTCAGAAGCAAACTAAAGTCTTTTCAGCCAAGATACAAACTATGTGTTTATAATTGAAGTGACAAGTGATAGAGACTAACTTACTATCAGCCAAAGAACACTTTCCAGTGGCATTACAAGTAAAAAACTGATGACTCACTACCCTCCCTGTACTTTCAGGCAAGAGCAAAAGCTATAGCAGCCAAGCCAGATCGCCTATAAAAGGGAAGACATGCCCCAGAGACAAGGACACTCAACCAATTAAACAAACCAACCTACAAACTCTACTCTCAAACTAGATTTGCATCCAAAAGCTAAAACCAACCCAGATTCAATCCTTTTAGCAATAGTTTCTTTAGAAAAGCTATCTTTTGTCTAGTATAAAAGCTCTGCTATCTCCCTTAGTGGTGTAGTATCGATTCCCTCATGTAAACTTTTTTACCATCCATCCCTCTTAGCATATAACCCTTGCAAATTCAAATGAGAAGTGACTGCAAGAGGTTCAGCCTTGCCAGACAAGATGAAATATTGCCCGAAGCTCTTTGTTTGTTTTCTGAGTTAGTAGATCTATTGCCTAAATGCATTCTCCAGTATGTATTCAAGTTATTTATTCCACCTATTTTGCTCTTTTAAGAGTCCCATTTATATATGGATCCGGTTAACTTAATGGATATGTTTTCATTAAGAGCAATTTGGAACTAAACAAATGATTTAAGGGGCTCTGGACTCCCTTTATTTGAACAAACAAGACCATGAACTATAAGTCCTTGTTTACAAGGCAAGAAAAAGAACTTAATGTGGACTTAACCCATCCACGACAATCCTTTGATAACAAGAAGTCTAAGTAACTTGGGGTATAAGTAATCGACTTAAAACACACTTATTCTACATCTACTATACTGAGATAGTTGTGGCACACCTAGCACTTTGTTAGTTTTGATTGCGAGCCTCAAGGCTTACTCCTAAGGCCCTACAAAGGCACCTTTCAGAACTAACTTTGTCCTCTTCTTATAGCACATCAACAAGCAAGAGCCCGACTACCAAACATATACATCCAAAGTGCCAATCCCTTGAGGAGCTGTGTTGAGGTCCAAGGAGCCTTCTCTAGAGAAATCTTTGCCCAAATATAACTAATATTAATACTAATCAAATCACAGCTTATAATTCAACATGTAGAAGTCCCGGCGTCGCAGGGAGAGATTTCTCTTCGTCTACAACATGTTGATCACGATTGATTGTGATCTGTCAGGCATAGGATAGAGAGAAGGGGGAATGGGCTAGCCATGGCAGGCAGTGTTGTCTACTAGGGTTTTTAACGTGTCTACCAGAGGCATCGCCCATACAATTATAGCATGCACACAGACTACGTCATCAGGAACTTTATTGACTAGCAAGGTTTACATAGTTCATAGTAAACATCTATATATACCTGTTTATATGTGTGTGTGTATATATACACACCTGCTTATATGTTCCATAGATTTAATTATCACAATTATAGTGGGGGCCAATGGCTATAAATCTATCTAGCTGAAGTTATAGTGCTTGTCTACAGCCACTGATACATCCCAAGTGCAGCTCATTCCCTTTGGAAATTCCACCAAATCACCAGCACCAATCTCAACCGACTCATTGGATCCATCAGGGGTAACCGTCACTTTGCCTTGTAGCAGATAGCAAGTCTCTTTGTTACTGTATGTCCATGGAAACTTGCTTGGAGGGCAACCCCACCTGTTAAAACGCCACCATATATAATTGAAAGTGTCGGGCAGATGTGCTATAACATGTATATTTCGCATTCAAGTATATGTAAACCTCTAAGCAAGAAAACACAAATGCTAAACAAGTAAAATCATAAGAAACAATTAAGAGTAGTTTTTATTAGATGTAGTCCACTATATATCATCGGGGTCCAATGATTACACTAAACAACCATTGACCGTGGCTGGCCAAATACATTTTCCAGCACTAGCGCCGGTGGCTTTTGAGTTATGTGCAATGATAACAAAAACGTAAATGAATAAATGATTTCTAATTTGAATGAGTTTTGATAATGATGATCTTTGAATTTAAAAAAAAAAAAAAATTAACAGTTTGCAAATACCCCAAATCCAAATCATGACTCTTTATACACCCATAATCAGAATTAAAATAAGAAATTGAATTTTAATTGTGGAGTAGTGAAGTATTTACTAACTTTAGAAGAATCAAAATAGGGATGGGCCCCACACAAAATGAGGAGTCTAACTTCCCAAATTGGAGGAATCCAACTCTCCAATAAAGTGATTCAAATTCGTTTTTTACGAGAATCGAACCTAGTATATCTTACTTATAAATAAAGAGGAATATCACTATACTGTAGTAATAAGTGGTCCCAAATTTGAAGAATACTATGCCGTAGTACTAAGTGATCCCAAATTTGAGGAATTGGACTCCTTAAATGGAAGAAAGAGTGAGGGGACTCAAGAATGCAATTTTTCTACCTATTGTGCCCTTCTGTTATTTCAGAAATTTTCAGTCTGCCACTCAAGCCAACAAGCCCTACTGTCCTTGCGCACCCTTCCTTCATGCGTCTCTGCCTCACTTTCCATCTTCACGTGGAGCCGTGCTTCACTTCCCAACCCACCAACTTAAGAACCCCAGCCCCATCTCCCACAAACCGGATTCAAAAATTAATCACCCAACCCAGAAAATAAACAATTCAAATTCAGACCCAAACCCACAAATCCGAGGAAGCAATCACTCAAAAAACCCAAAAATCCATGAAATACTTTCCACCTCTTCTACCACAGAAGAGGTCGTGTCTATGGGGTAGTATGCGTGGGGAAGATGGAGGTGAGGGCCAGAGAAGAAAATGTACGTAGACTTGCAGAGAAGTGAGGAGTGTTCTATCCAAATGTGTTTGAAAAAGGGCATTATTAAAGTGTAATTAATATTTCATATTGGTAATTCAATAAATTTGTATACAAATTTAAATTTTTTGGTATAAGGGCATGAAATAAAACAAATAAAAAAGTAATTAAAAGGTTATTAAATATAAATATTGTATGAAATAAAAAAAAAAAAAAAACAAAGAACATTTTAGTAATTATATTCATTTTCATTTCAAATCAAATGAACTAGTAAACAACTTATATGAACTCAAATTCTTCGTCATTCTAATTCCTCATCATTTCAATTTCTCATTAATTCAATTCATCTCATTTTAATTACGGCAAATTAAACGAGCCATTAGAGTTGTCCAGTTACTTTTCATCCTTTAGCCGGACGTCTTGAAATTGTGAACACAACTACACCAAATGCAAATGGCCGAATAAATTGCCTCTCCTATAATCAGAAATGAATAAACATATATAGAATGGAAGGAAGTTTAAGGTTTACTTTCTTCGGGTGCGACACCACAGAGAGAGAAAGACAGAGACAGAGTGTGTGCGCGTGTGTGTGTGTGTGTGTGTTTGGAGCCAGAGAAAATAGGATATACTTGGGCCAATTTCTGACACCCAGTTGGGTGAGCCTGGACTCGGGAGGATTCCTGTCGACTTTGATACCCAATTTCTGAGTAGCCGTACTATCAGCATCTGCTGAGCACCTTATTATTGGCGTAACTGAATATCGTCTGGAGCTGCTGCTGCTGCTGCTGCTGCTCCTCCACCACTCGCTCCTTGGACAATAACATGTGTAGCGTTTGTTTTCGATGCTTAATAAAGCACCATTAACACTTAATGACGCCATCACCCACACGACTCTCCTCCTCTCCAAACTTCTTCAAGCGGCATGGATTGTTATCTTCTTCGCATTTATATCCATCCGAATTTTTATTTTTTATTTTGCTCTGATTTTCTATCTACGGATTATTTTACGATGTACCGCAAGAACGGTCAGTTTTCTTTCTTTTTGTATTTTATTTTTACTTTTCTTGGTATCCACGTCTTCACAGTGTTGTTGTTTTCTTTACAGCAATCTTCATCCACGCAGACCTTATCTCAATTTTCAGGCACCAATTGCAACTTATGTGAACCATGTAAGATGGTTACCGAACAAGTTAGGAATCCTGTTGAATAGGACGAGGACTTGAACCCTATTTTAAACAAATAAAATTCCCTTTTAACATATTCTAAAACATGAAATTATTTATTAACATAGCTAAACTGAATTTTCTAAATCTTTATGTCAATTTTTTTGTCAAAAGATAAAAGAAAATAGCATTACGTCTACCTTTCCTACTTATAAACTAAAGATTGTGATTCTTATATTTGATTTGCATGGACGGCGAGTTTGATATTTACCTATTATATTGGGTTGCTCAGTGACTTAATTCAACACTCTCGATTTTAAAAAAATAAGATATTGTTGTACCAAAAAACATTTGTTAAGAATCAAAATTAAATTAGTTTAATTACTAAAATTCATTTGTGCAAATTAACTGATCAATAGATAATATTGGGCAATTACTCGAAATCAATCCCTTGGGAGCCTTAACCACCAAATGTCGGGCTCCATTCCTGACTACTTGTGGAATTGTGTGTGGAAATTGGAGGTTCCCCCGAAAATTAGATACTTTATGTGGAAGACTCATCATGTGGCGCTAGCAACAATGGCAAATCTATACCAAAGAAGATCTTTCCCTTCTCCATTATGCCCTATTTGTAAGTCGCACGATGAGACAGTTGAGCAGTTATTTCTGCTATGCCTGTGGGTGGAAGTGATTTGGTTCGGGGGAAGCTTGAATTTGAGGATCAATCGGACGGAAATCACAACTTGGGCAAATTGGTTGCTTCAGATATATGATTCGGCCAAGGGTTCTAAGGAGGTGAGAAATAAACTATTTTCATACATTGCCTTTACATGCTGGCATATATAGAAATCAAGATGTAATTTTCAATTCAACCAACAGCAGATTCACCCAAGACAGGTTATTATGGCTAGTTCTCTGTCGGCTACCACCTTCAATGCGGTCAGAGTTGTGCATTCCATTTCGCCCATGCCCAGATTGTCGGAACCAATTGACGGTGGTAGATGGTCTCCATCGAGTCCGGGCTTTGTAAAAATTAACGTGGATGCAAGTTGGGGACCAAGTGATGGACAGGGATTTATGCGTGTGGTGGCTCGGGATGAGGATGGAATGTTCTTAGCTGCTGGTAGGTCCGGTGGGTAGGCTACAAGTGCAAATATGATGGAGGCCTTGGCTATCCTGCATGGGTGTCGGTTGGGAAAGAACAGTGTTTGGAATTTGATTATTGTTGAATCAGACTCCTTGGAATCAATTTCTTGCCTTAGGGACATGGCAAAGAAAGGCAGTTGGGATGCCTTCCTGAAGGAATATTTGTGAAAAACATGTTCATTTAAGCAACATCAATAGCATGCAATTAACAATTAAAGGCGGAATCATGCTTGTATGCACTTAAAACAAAACATTTATCCATGAAATTCAAAGCCTAGTAGATAGGTGAACCAAGACTCAACTCAAAACAAAGTGAGTTGAGAAATCAATACCTTTGTAGATTCCTCTTTGCATAAGCAAAGGCTAATCACCCAAAGAGAGGGCCTTCATTCCTTGCATCTTAGATCCATGGATTTGGCAGGATGAAAAAGTTTCTCCAAGTTCCCAAAATTGAGAACCTCCAATGATTCATCACCAAGGCATAATGAAGAAGAAATGAGTGACGTTGGAGGAGTTTAATTGCTAGATGATCCCTCCAAGGTGGCCTAAATTTTAGAGAGAAAGGAGAGCTTGTGTTCTCATCCTTTCCCCAAAAATTACCTTATGTAAATTTTAGGCTATAAAGTCCTTTATATAGTCCCTTCAAATAAGTGACCTAATGGACCAAAAGCCCTATTCTTCTAACATGGCAAGCCTATAGGGTTTATTGGGCTTTCAAGCCCTTTGTTTATTCAAGTTGTCATACAACTTGAGTTAATTGGCTTGACATTCAAATCCCATTGGGCCTTGCGGCCCAAAACTAACCCGAGGTCTTTAACGAACTTATTCGTTTGATTAATTAACATATTAATTAATCCTAGCCTTAGATAAATAATTAAACCATTTAATTATTCTTACTCATCTCCGTTGTTTCTTCAAACTCTACCTTACTCGGTAAACGATCCATTAGGTTCCTTTTAGCGAGGCAGTGGGCGATTAAAACTCTTTCTAATCGATTGTGAATTGAAACTTACTTTCAATTCTCCCGTTAGTGATAATACACTTTTAGGGCTTCCACAAACCATGGTTGACGCCTAGCAGCATGTCATGGTTACCCAAACTAATCAGAAGAGGTGGAGAACCTATTCAGTTTTAGGATTACAAATGCAATACGGTCTTTCTCTAATACAATACTCTTGACCACATTGTTTGGTTTGATAGTTTATTCATGTCTACTATCCAATGTGAGTCTTATGCTTATATGATTACCTTGAATGTGATTTGGAACACATTCCTAAATCTCATTCATACTTTGGCCAAAGATTCTTAATCATATCATAGAGTATTCTCCCTCAAACAGTTTGAAGGTTAGAGATCCCTTGTTGCGCATTCACTTGCCTCCATGGCTAAGTGGCTTAACCCCAACGATGCCATGGACACCCTCATGATGGAGTGACTTTGACATAATCAAAGATTAAGGACCTAACCACAAGACAACTGTGATGCCTCAGGTCAAAAGACTAATTTGCATTATCCCAACCATGAGTTCTCATGTGACATGAATATGAGAACTCTTCGTTGATCGTGTTCAGTGAACTCATTCTCTATTGAGCACCTACGTACTTGTCTTGATGTCACACACACCAATGACTCGAGACTAGTCACTCTCCCTGAGAGAAGACATAGCACGTACTGATCTTAACGGACTGTCAATGCCCAATTGACAATCCTATGATCAGGAACGTTTAGGATGTGTCAACGAAAGAATGGTCTCATGAATCTAACTTCTTTAGATCGCATTCTTCCAATCACATATTCCTTGGACTTATCAGTTTAAGCATATAACATTTATATGAGACGGCTCAAACAATAATGTTTGCCCTTAATATTAAACTAGATTAGTTTAACATGTGAAATGTCCATAAAGTATCATCATATGATTGGTTTTAGGGCACATTTCCAACAATCTCCCACTTGCACTAGAGCCAATCAGCTTAGTCATCAGTGATGATACCTCTTCTGTAGTCATTTCATAAATGGCTGAGTAGTAGGCCTAGACAATGGATATCTATATGTTATCCATAGAAGCAACCTTGAGAATAACGACGTCACCATTATACATGATTCTCAATCATGTGGTTCAGTCTCTCATTTGAGTTCGGACCTTGATGAGACCTTGATTCCCTGGCTTGAGCTATCGCCCCATTAGTGTCATACACTTTCTGGTTGGAACCGAATGGAGAGTTCATGAATGAACTTTCCCATCCAAACAACAATGTTGTAAGCTTCTATATGGCAATATATTTTGCATACATGATGGAACACATTAAAGTCATTTACTTTTAACGTTTCCACCCAAATATCTCTTTAGTCATAATAAAGAGATATCTCATTATCTCATTATCTCTTCATTCATAATGAAGAGATATTCTATGATGGATTAGATTCATAATCTAATACATTTACGCTTCCATTACGTTACTCTAATTCTTCCTCATTCTTGAGGAATCCATCCTTAGTATTTCTTAAATACCTAAGGATTCACTTGACAGTTGCCATGGTTCTGATCCTGGGCTTGCACTGATATCATCTTGTACCGTTCTAGGTACAACTTATATCAATGTTTTCATACAATATGAAATACATAAATCACCTTTCTGCGTATGCATAAAGGATTCTATTTACGCATTATTTCTTTGGGAGTCAAAAGGTACATTCCCTTTGAGAAAAACAACTTCCTAGTCTCACTAGAATTGTCATTCTAATTGAAGTTTATCATCATATGAGAAACTTCCTAGCATCTCTTGTCTATTTTAGGGATTGATATAATCCAATTATATCTTGAAATCTATCATTATAGATTTCCATCCCATGTATATAGACTATGTCTCCCATATACATTCTATCATTATAGAATGTTTAAAGTCATAACTTTAACGATGAAGAATTCCTTTCATTTTCAAAATTAATATATATCATGTATATATATTCAAATTTAGGAATATTATCAACTCCCACTAATCTTTTGTAAACCTAGTAAACAAAAGATTCATTTACATCTTTATGAGAAATCAAACAATTGATCTTTTCTCATAAGACGCTTATAGCTCCCACTAGCTTGCTAAGATCCATGATGGATGGATCTCTACAACTAACCTGTCTTGTGATTTATTGTTTTAGACATATATTATCAAGACTATCTTAATAATGGTTTCGGAAACCCATATTATGTCCAAACCATTCAACTGAGACGGTTTATAAACCTTGGAGCTTGTGGTATAGGAACTAGGTTGTCTTAGAAGTATATATCATATATATATGGGTAATTGATAATGTCCAACGAACTAAATCTTATTCATGTTCATTCTTCTCCTAATGGAGAAATTCATTATCTTACGATGCTACTTTCCTTGATATTTTTCAAGGAAATTAATCTAAAGTGTTACTTTTACCTTGGATCAAATCTAAGGAGGTAAATACTTTAGACGTCTTACTCATCTACTTACATTTCTTGAATTCTTTGAAACCTTTTGCAAAGTATTCGGACTTGTGTTTATTCAAAATAAACTATAGTCCAACCGAGAGTGATCTTCGGTGAATGTCATACAACATGAGTAATATTATGTTGTGGATAAGTGCCACTAACATCTAAGTGAATTAACCTTAACAACTTTGTGATTCTTTCTTCTTTCCAAAAGAATAAAGATTCGAACATTTTGCCTCTGTACA